ATGATGGATTTTGCCGGGAACGGTGCAAAACCAGATTCTCGGCGAGTAGAAAATATACGGCAGCAGGCAAAGTCATTATTACCGCAATTGAATCTGACTCAATATGAAAACGGTGTGGGATATCGCCCAACGCTGCCTGATAGCAAACCGGTAATTGACCGCAGCCGCCGATTTGCCAACGTTTACATGGCATTTGGACATGGTTCATTAGGACTTACTCTTGGAGCAACGACCGGCAGAATCATCGCTCAAATGGTTGCCGGAAAAGAACCACATGTAGATATTGCCTGCTTTAGAGCTGAAAGATTTTCATTCTGGTGATTATAAAATCCGCTTTATTACAAAAATTATAATTTCATAAATCCTCTGCTACGTTTTCAATTATACGATGGAGTATGCATGTTTAATTAGATTATTTACGATGTTTGAATAGGGTTTAAAAGGGCATCGGATGCGTCTTGTAGACGTCAGCAATCCGCCTGGCGAGAGAGTCGGTGATGACAAAGGAAGCGGCATCCAGTGAAGGATAAAGTTGCTCAACGGCGGAAGCGCCAACAATCGGCACCGCAGTGAAATAACGCGACATCACAAACGCGATGGCCAGCGTGACCGGATGCACTTCAGCCTCACGTGCTATTTGCAGATAAGCGTCAATCGCTGGCCAGACATTGGGTGTGCATCTGCCACCTAAACCGATATTAACATTCCGACGAGAATGTTCTGGAATAATCCCGGCCGTATGTTTTCCGCTCAATAAACCTTGAGCGGAAGGGGAGTAAGCCAGCAGTGAAATGCCTTCGTTCACTGCCAGCTCGGCTAAATCTGCATCGAAATAGCGGCAAAGTAATGAATATTCATTTTGAATGGTGACTGGGCGCGGACCTAAACCTTGATCGGCCAACCGTAGCCACTGCGACATGCCCCAACAGGATTCATTGGATAAGCCAAAATGACGGATTTTCCCCGCCTGTTGTAAATCCGCCAGCGCCTGCAGGCAATCCGCCATATTCTCCAAAATCGCTTCCCGATTATTCTGCGGTTGGAAATTCCAGATACCGCGAAAATGATAACCAGGTCGATTAGGCACGTGCAGTTGGTAAATATCGATATAGTCGGTTTGCAATCTTTTCAGTGAGGCTTCCACCGTGCTGCGCAGTATTTTACCAGTGAGTGGCGCGCCGTTTCGGAGTCCAATCTGTCCGAATCCGGTGGCTTTCGTAGCAATCACTTTCTTATCGCGGCCGCCCTGACGATATAACCAGTTGCCGATAATGGTTTCGGTCACACCGGCCGTTTCCGGTTTAACCAGATTAACCGGGTAGAGCTCAGCAGTATCGATAAAATTAACGCCGCGCTCGCTGGCGTAATCCAGTTGCTGGTGAGCTTGTTGCTCGCTATTTTGTCGGCCCCACGTCATCGAACCGAGACAAATAGCGGACACCACAGGGCCGCGCGTACCGAGCTGGAGAGTTTTCATCTTATATTCCTGGTTGGCGTAAAGGTTTCAAGCTTCGCTACGAAGATCGGCTGAGATCTTTTGTCGCAGCGTCTGAGCATCTTCTTTGCGGCTGTTGTCATAGATATTGATCACTTTGCCGGGACGGCCCAATACAATCATTTTGTCACTCAGACTCAGCGCTTCATCGATGGAATGCGTAACGTGCAGTACCGTTTTATTTCCGGCTTTAGCGATGATTTTAAAATCATGCCGCAGGGTTTCGGCGGTGGCTTCATCCAGATGACCAAAGGCTTCATCCGCCAGTAAAATATCGGGATCGCTGATTAAGGCGCGGGTGATTGCCACACGTTGCCGCATGCCGCCGGATAATTCAGAAGGGCGGGCATGTTCAAACCCCTGCAGGCCAAACTGCTGTAACAGCTCCAGCGCTTGCTGGCGATGACGGCTGGATTTCATGCCCAATATTTCACCCGGCAACATCACGTTATCCAGCGCTGAGCGCCAGGGTAATAAGCGATCGCCCTGGAAAACGCAGCCGATGCGACCTTTCATATGCTGGAATTGTTGATGCGGATCGTGGCCCAGAATAGTAATGGTGCCGCGATCGGG